CACACACACACACACACACACACAAAAGATTCCAAAAATCTAAGAACAAAGGACTTTTTTCAATGGGTATGGTTGAGGTTCATTGAAAACATATAGATGAGTCAATATACAAAATTTGAGGAAGATTGGAGGTATTTTTGACTGATTTGGTATCAAAATTCGTAGTTAAAATCGATTTCAAAAAATTCTTCTGCGACACATGTATCACGCATGTATCTCACACGTAGGTATACATGGATATACATGTGATACACATTTGATAAAAATATGATACATATGTGATACACAGTGTGATACACATATTTTTTTTATGTTCATCTTCTACTTCTAATTTTCAATTCACCACCTCAAAACTCCACCAAATCATCTCAAAATTGATATTCAAGATTCTTAAGATGTACCCAATCTATTCTAATAACACCCACTCAAAAAGAAAAAGCAAAAATTTGACCTTTTTTGCTACAAATAGATAATTGGCTAATATTGGTAATATTTGACTAATATTAGTAATATTTTATCAATTGACCAATTTTTATAATAAGCTACTTATAAATGGGCATAGCTGGTATTTTTCCTACTTTTTTATACCACCGACAATAGTAACAATTTTTTTTCCTTCCTTTTCCTTTTTTGGCTTAAAATGATTGTGTGTGTGTGTGTGTGTGTGTGTATATATATATATATTAATTAGTTTTTGTAGAGCACATCTTGAGTACTTCGCCCTAGTAAACTCTTTTACACAGATATCCGGAACAAAAGAGCGAGGGAGACTCTTTAGGTAATTAAAAAGCTTTCTCTCTCTAGCTTTGCTCTTGGCGTAGGTTATGCTAACCTGCACCTACCCGTGGACGCCATGGCTAAGAAGAGAGGAAGACCGTTCAAAAATCAACCACCTGTAGGAAGCTCCATCACTACAAGTGTGATTGTAGAAACCCTTGAACAAGGAAGTACACAAAAGGTATTGACCCTAATTGGGAACCTTCCAGCTAGGTCACTTTATTTGGGATCGCAGAATACAAAAGTAGCGGCATCGAAGAGGCTTAATTTGAGCCCAAATCAACTGAGTGAGTACCAAATTCAGCAAATTCAGCTAACAACATCGCTCAATCAAATGGGGAAGCTAGGGCAACGATTACAATGGAGGAAATGCATGATAGACCAGAGATTCCATTGGACAAAGGCAAACAGAAAGAGAACCCACCTCCTCCGGCACCGGAAGCTATACCTGAGGCTCTATGGACAACCTTATTTGCTGGGAATCGAACAGTTGAACATGGTATGAACCTAACCTATATCCCACCAGAAATTTTAGATGGAAAATTTGCGGTTAACCTAGATAAAATAGAGGTTGAAAATGAAATAGAAAAATGGAGCAAATCACTCAATGTTTATGTGATTGGGGAAAAGCCGGGCTATAACTATATGTGTAGATATATTGCTCAATATTAGATGCTGTTGCAGAACCTAAAATTTACCTACACGAAGAGGGTTATTATATTGTTAGATTTCAAAATACTAAGGATCTACAAGACATACTATATAGAGGACCATACACCTAAGCAGAAGACCAATATTCTCAAGCAATGGACACCCGATTTTGACTTTAAAGCTGAGTTTCTGACGGAAATTCCTCTGTGGGTCAAGTTTCCTAAGCTCCCTATGAATTACTGCGGGAGTAACTCATTGAGCAGAACGACTAGCACACTAGGCAACCCTTTATTTGCTGATGGATACACCACCAAGCATACTAAGGTATCTCATGCTAGAATCCTCATTGAAGTTAATGTAACAAAGGAGCTACCTAGTGAAATAATAGTGAATGATCCCTCTGGTAGGCAATTCCAGCAGGATATTGAATTTGAGTGAAAGCCTGCTTTCTGTGCCAAATACTTAAAATTGGGACATGATTGTGCCAAAGCAACACATGAGGAGAAGGCAGACCAGGTACAAAGGAGAAGGAGACCAAGAGTAGTTCCTACATGGAGACCAACTAGACAGCTGATACAACACCCTGCAATAGATCAAAAGGATCAACAACCTATCAATGAGAGTAGATAGGCTAAAGGAGGAGAATGGATGCACGTTAAGCCAAAAGGAACACCGCAGCTTCACAAACAAGTTGATAAGCCAACAACAAGTGGGAGTAAAGAGAAGCAAGTAAACAACTTAATTTGGCCAAGCCTAGATGTTGCTGTCAACAAATAATGGATTCCGGGTACTACATGAAGGAGGACACCGAGGAGAAGGCCAGAAACCCCCTGATATAGGGGGGGGGGGGGGGAACAACATGCCCAATGACTTGGATTATCTGGAATATAAGAGGAATAAATAGGAGGTACAAGCATAAGGAACTAAAGCAGTATCTCAAAGAAAATCACATAAACATAGCTGGAATCCTAGAAACTAGAGTGAAAGAAAACAAAGCACTACAGATTGCCAACAAGGTTGTTCTTGGTTGGGAGAGAATAAGCAACAACAAAGATGCAAGTAATGGAATAATATGGGTAGTGTGGGATGCTAAAGCCTATAACATACAGCATCTAGCTAGTACAAGTCAGTTTATTCATTGTATGGTGACAGAAAGGCAGAATGGAATAGATTGTATACTCACAATAGTATATGGCTTTAATAATGTGGAAGAAAGTGAAGTATTATGGGATCAATTGAAAGCAATGGCTCCTATGATTAATAAACCTAGGTAATTAGTGGGGACTTTAATGCAATCCTACACCCCAGTGACAGGTTATCTGGAACAACTGTCTCATTAGCTGAGTTAAAAAAATTCTCTGAATGTTGCAAAAAACGGCTGCTAAATGAGATTCCTTGGAAAGGGGAATACTACACTTGGATAAACAAACAGAGAGGGAATGATATAGTGTGTAGCACGATTGATAGGGCAATTGCCAATGATGAATGGATGCTTCAATATGGGCATTTGACTGCAGTATATGGAGAGCCATTTGTATCTAATCATACACCCATTCTCATCCCAATGAGAGAAGCTAGGAGAAACATCAAAGTTCCTTTCAGGTTCTTTAATGTCTGGATAAAACATCCCAAGTTCAAGCAAATTGTGGAAACAGAGTGGGGTAGAAACAAGGCTACAGAAAAAATGAAGAATATCTGGCTCAAATTGAAAGGCATGAAACCTTCACTTAAACAGTTGAACTTAGAAGAGTTCAAAGGGATTACAGAGAAGATGAACCAAGCAAGATCAAACCTGAAAAGGATTCAAAAAGAACTAGGGGATACTTACTCTGATACATTGGTTGATTAAGAGAAAAATTAATTGTTGGCGGTCAACCTTCAGGATCCTGAAGCTATCAAAGAAGAATTTCTTAGCTTTTACAAATCCTTGATGGGAACTGCAACATCAAAACTACCAGCAGTGAATAGAATTGTAATGAGAAATTGACCTTGCTTATCAAATACTCAACAGCTAGAGCTTTGTGCCCAATTACAGAGGAGGAAATCATAAAGGACTGAGCTCAATTGGAGATGATAAGGCCCCAAGAATTGATGGCTGTAATGCTATCTTTTTCAAGCAAACATGGTCCATTGTTAAGAATGAAGTTTGTGAAGCTGTGGAAGAATTTTTTATCATAGGAACCTTGTATAAAGCTATAAACTGCACTACACTTACTTTGGCGCCTAAGGTTCCAAGTCCAGATACAATTAAAGACTATAGGCCTATATCTTGTTGTACAGTGTTATAAAAGATTATTGCTAAGGTCATCACCAGCAAATTACAGAAAGTAATGGCCTACATAATCTCAGAGGCTCAGGCAGGGTTTATTCCAGGAAGGAAGATAGCAGACAACATCATTCTAGCACATGCACTTATCAAATCTTATGGTAGGAAGCATATCTCCCTCAAATGTATGATAAAGATAGATCTACAAAAAGCTTATGACTCATTGGAGTGGATCTACCTAGAGCAAGTTATGGAAGGACTGAGGTTCCCAGGGAAGTTCATCAAATGGGTAATGAACTGTATCAAAACAGTTAATTACTCTATTCTACTAATGGAGAATCAGTTGCACCATTCAATGCAGCCAAAGGCTTGAGATAAGGAGATCCTATGTCTCCTTTTCTCTTTGCCATTGCCATGGAGTACTTGAGTAGACTGCTTAAAGACCAACAACATGAGAAAAGCTATAACTTTCATCCAAGGTGTAAAAGGCTGGGGATCACTCACCTAAGCTTTGCTGATGATATGTTGTTGTTTGCCATAGGAGATAGTGAATCTGTGCAGAGATTTCATGCATGCTTTATTACTTTCTCAGCAGCCTCAGGCTTGCAAGCTAACTTAACCAAAAGTGTTGTCTATTGTGGGGGAATGACACATACGGAGAAAGAGGATATACTTCAATTGCTAGGTTACTCACTAGGGGAACTTCCTTTTAAATACCTAGGGTTTCCTCTAGACAATAAGAAGCTCACCATGGTTCAGTGGCAACCCCTCATAACAAAGATTGTGGCTAAAATCTCTTCATGGACTTCAAAAAAGCTATCATATGCTGGGAAAATTCAATTTATTCAAATAGTTTTATTTTGGATCCAATCTTATTGGGCTCAACTCTTTACTCTGCCAACTAAGGTGATACAAATAGTTGAAGCCCATTGCGGAATCTACCTGTGGTCTGGGGGTGATACAACTACAAAGAAGACTCTTGTTGCTTGGGAGAAGATCCGCCTGCCTAAGGCTACCGGGGGGGGGGGGGGGGCTCAACTTGCATAATCTCCAGGTATGGAAAATGCTGCAATTGCAAACACACACTGGGATTTGACTCATAAGCAGGATAAACTTTGGATAAAATGGATCCATGCCTATTACATCAAGGAGCAGAGTTTGGGAACTATGACCATTCCACAAACTTCTAGTTGGATGGTTAGGAAAATTCTGGGAGCAAGAGACACCATTGGGCAGCTGAGCAGACCCATTACTGAACACAAGAGTGTCATTAAACAAATATACTTACAACTGATACCAGAATACCCAAAGGTAAGGTGGAGAAAACTAATGTTCTAAAATTTTGCAAGACCAAAAGCCTTATTCACAATGTGGCTGCAATGCCAAGACAGACTTCTAACAGTGGATAGATTGTTGAGATAGGGACTTAATGTACAAGCTGTATATGCAATGTGTCAAGCTCACAATGAATCAAGAAACCATCTATTTCCTGAATGCAAATATGCTCAGGCAATTTGGAATAGAGTCAGCAAGTGATCACAACAACAACTCTATGGTGACAGTAATTGGGTTCCAAGAGATTGTCAAAAGTATACAAGGGAAGACAACAAAGGCCAAACTCATTAAGATGATATATGCTGAAGTTATATATGCCATATGAAAGGAGAGGAATGCAAGAGTATTTGAAGGGGTGGCCAGAGATTGTGAAGGAGTGGCAAAAGAGATAGCATGTGTCTGTAGCTGCAGGGCTGCTGGGGAGATGAAATACTTAGTGCAAAAGCTAGTTTTCTAAGTTTTTACACATAGCAATGCTGTATAGGAAATTCAGGATCATTGATTATGTTTTTTCTCTCTTTGAGATTAGCTAGCATAGTTGTGCTAAGCTAATGATTTGTAATTGCTTTGTTGATTAATAAAAAGCCTAATTAATTACCAACAAAAAAAAAAGAGTGAGGGAGTACACTGAAAATACATATTATCTTAAGAAAAGTATGCTACTTCCACATTAATTTAGCTAATGAATTAGCCATCTGGTTTGCCTTCCTAAGAAAATAAGATTATCTAGTTTCCCTTCCTAAGAAAAGAAGATATTATACCAAGGAAAATACATGAAAATCTCGACTTCAATAAATGAGGTTTATGCTTTCAATTCCTATTATCTGGGAATTGGGACCAATTCGGTCTTCCTTGTCATCTATTGACTAATTGTTACAAATTCGCACTACCAAGAAATTGATCAAATCTCTTTGATAACACAAATAACACCAAGATCTAGTATAATAAAAAGTTTCTTTTGTTTAAGTAGAAAAAAATGAACAACATTAAATAGACCAAAATAGACTTGTGAGTCTACTAACTTGACTCACACCTGGCCCGTATAGAGGACATGGAAATGAACTTGACCCTGAATATATAAATAGAAAATTGACTAGAATGGAAAAGAATGATCATCGAGAATTATATCTAACATTAAGGTTTTAATTTTAATGTGATGTTTTTGTTCTATCAAACCATTTTTTTGACAAATACTTTACTGTATCACTAATAAAGTAATAAATTATAATCTTAAATTATATGTCTAGTCAAACATCATCACATAAAATGAGATATGGTGAATAATATTCTTTTGTAGAATCTGGAAGATTTGTTGAACTTTCTACGAATATGAGATCAACATAAAGGGAGAGAGCCTATAGTAGTTTGTTTTCAATCATCCCTGCAACATGGTCATAATTGATTAAAGAAAAGTGATAGATTGCTTCGATCTTTTATGTACTAAGTTGTAACGACCCCCGGCTGGTTATTTTAAGAATTGCAGCTCCGTTCCCCATTTTTTGCTTCTTTTGTGTTCTACAGCTGTATTATGATTTACCGGGTTAATTGGTTCGGTTCCGGAGTGATTTTGGAGCGAATTGAGACACTTAGTCTCTTAATTGAAAGCTTAAGTTAGAAAAGTTGACCGGATATCGACTTATGTGTAACCGACCCTGAAATAGAATTTTGATGGTTCCGTTAGTCCTGTTAGGTGATTTTGGACTTAGAAGCGCGTACGGATTGTGTTTTGGAGGTCCGTAGTAGAATTAGGCTTGAATTGGCGAAAGTTAAAATTTTAAAAAGTTTGACAGTGGGCGGACTTTTTGATATCGGGGTCGGATTGGATTTTTGGAAGTTCGAGTAGGTTCATGGTGTCATTTATGACTTATGTGCAAAATTTTAGGTCAATCGGACGTGATTTGATAGGTTTCGGCGTCGTTTGTAGAATTTAGAAATTTTAAGGTTCATTAGGCTTGAATCCGTGTGTAATTCGTATTTTGGATGTTGTTGCGGGTGATTCGAGGGTTCGACCAAGTTCGTATGATATTTTGGAACTTGATAGTATATTTGGTTGAGGTCCCGAGGGCCTCGGGTGAGATTCGGGTGGTTAACGGATCATTTTGAACTTAGTTTGTTGGCTGATAACTGCTGGTTTTTGCTGTTGCTGGTTTCCTCTTACACGTTCGCGAGACAGGTCTCACGCTCGCGAAGTGTACCTGGAGGCTGAGGAGGATTTGTTCTTTGCGTTCGCGAAGAAGAGGACACGTACGCGAAGGTTTGGGAGGAGAGTGCATCGCGGACGCGAGACGGGGAACGCGTTCGCGAAGAAGAGAAGAGGCAACTGGGGACCCCATGCATTTGGTTATGCGTTCGCGGAGGTGCGGTCGCGTTCGCGATGAGAGGGGTCAGTAAAGGTTTGCGTTCGCTAGTGGTTGATCGCATTTGCGTAGAAGGGATTTTAGTCAGAGGCAATTTGTGCTTTGCGAACGCGAGGGTGCTTCTGCTTTGCGTACCTGCGCAGAATAAAAAATTTAAAAATGAGGCTTTTGAGTTCATATCACAAAATTGAATTGGGAGCTCGGTAGAAGGCGATTTTTGGAGAGATTCTTGCGTGGGTGTTTGGGGTAAGTGATTCCTATCTAATTTTGGTCAAATTCCATTATTATGCCTTTAATTCCATCATCTAATTTGTGATTTGGAGTGGAAATTTTGGAAAAAAAAGGAAGAGTTCTTGAGTTAGATTTTTGGGGTTTTCAATGGGATTTTATTATCGGATTTGAGTAAATTTGGAATGTTAGACTCGTGAGTGAATAGGCTTTCGGTTTTTGTGACTTTTGTCAAATTTGAGACATGGGCCCGGAGGCCGGATTTGAGCCGATTTCGGATTTTGAGCTATAATCTCTAATTTTCTTGTGAAATTGATCCCTTTAGCCCGTATTGATTGTATTGTACTGTTTGTGATTAGATTCGGAACATTTGTAGGCCGACTCACGAGGCAAAGGCATTTTGAAGTAGAGTTTTACTCGGATTGAGGTAAGTAACAATTATAAATCTGGTCCTGAGGGTATGAAACCCCGGATTTTGTGTCATGTCACTATTTTGGAGGTGACGCACATGCTAGGTGACGGGCGTGTGGGCGTGCACTGAGGGGATTGTGACTTGGTCCGTCCAATAGAACTGTAAAGTTGAATAATCTGATGTTAGCTATATGCTCTCTATGTGTTATAGAAGCTTGACTGTAAATTGTGTTAGAAGCCATGTTTAGGGTATGTGTGGTACTGTTGGGACCCTTAGAGGTCGCGTTACATGTTGAATTGCCTGCTAAATACTATTTGTACTCAGTTGCAATTTTTGCTCGTATATCAAATCTCAGTCTCTGTTATTCTTATTGATACATCATGTTAGTGCTATTTGGATTGATTCTTCCTGATTTCTGAGAGCACGAGAGACTAGAGATATTGATGACTGAGTGAGGCCGAGGGCCTAATTGTGAGGATATTTATGGAATCAGGCTGCAAGCCGCAACATGTTTTCATTGATTTATGCCATTATTGGCTTGATATAGCGCTTGGGCTGTAGGAGTCCCTCCGGAGTCTATACACACCCTAGTAAGCACAGGTACCTACTGAGTGCGAGTGCCAAATCGTAAGGAATGAGTGATTGTGAGGAATGGGTGATTGTGAGGTTGGAGTGAATGGGAGGACTGAGTGTTGGTTGCCCTGAGAGGCTGTATATGATTTTTATTAATTATGCACACAGTTGCCTTATATCATTGTTTTTAAAACTTCTGAAAGATGTTTATACTTGGTTTTTACTTGAACTTGACTTAAACAAACTGAATTGATTTGATTTTTACCAGATTCGGAAAGCATGTTTATTTTCCGTGCTAAGACTACTGACATTGCATTATAACTGTATAGCTCGAAACTATCTTTCAGTTCCTTATTTATTATTGTTATTTACTGAGTTGGTTGTATTCATGCTACACCCTGGTAGGAGCTCGCCGTTCTCTTCTGGGAGAAGTTCGTGCCGCAGTCACTTGATCCGGAGCTGCACCGA